CAAATGAAGAAATGCCAGTAAGGCCTGTCACAGAGCGGAACAAACTAAAGGCTGCAGTGGTGTAAGAGGATGGAATAACTTGACTCGATAGAGAAAAGATTAGCGACGAGCAGGAATAAACTGAGGAAAGGAATGTAGCTCCAGAATGGGCATAGGCAAGGCGGATCCCAATACCCCCTAACCGAGGGGGAAGGGTTGCCTTAAGATGGGACCAGCGGGAGAGAGCCCCTCCCACTAAGTCAGAAATGCAGTGAAACATGAAGTTATCAAAGTCTTGAATGACAGACACCAAAATGTCAGGGGTTGTAGTTCTCAGAGCACAAGAAATCTTCTGGAGACTAAGACATGACCTAAGAAGTGAATACTCGAACTGAGAATCCTCCAAAAGGGAGAGGAGCTTGACAGACTCTTTGGCTTTGTCGAGGCGTTTCGAGATAGACTCACAACAGAACTCAGGAGGGCCAATCGGGGAGCCCAATAGAACAAAACCAAGCGAGGTCACAGGGATATCAGATGGTAAGGATGACTGAGAAGAATCCACTCCAGAGGGAAGGAAGAGAAGAGACTTCGAATGATTGAGGTGAAGACCGCAGGGAGGACCCATGTCCTCAATAATATTAAGAGCAGACAGGAGGTCAGCTGGAGGACCAGTGAGGATGCCATCATCCAAATACCATGCGTTAAGTAGGAGACCAGGGACCTCCCGCTGAACCCTTTCAATAATAGGGTGGAGCAGGATAGAAAAGGCCAGGGGACCCAAAGGGTCTCCCTGCTGAACCCCTGCACAGCTCAACAGAGTGTACTCGCCAAAAAGGAGGTTAGGCTGAGCTCCGTAGCAACATTCCAACCACGGAGATAAAGAAGGGAAGCGAGAGCGAACTTCTCGGAAGAGAGCTGATTATTATTATTATTATTATTATTATTATTATTATTATTATTATTTAACTTTAGAGTACAACATAAAGTAGACAGACAGTCTATGAGACAGAGAGGAAGAATAAAAGTACAGTAGAAGCACTGATGGTCTGACATTGGACACTGTGTCAGCCAGGAAAAGAAGAGAATACAAGAAAGAGGACACACACAATGGTTTACATAGACAAGTGGACATGAAAAAAAGAAAGAGGGGCAAGAAGTACATAGAATTTAACAACACATAAATTAGTATATAAATTTGTTTTTTAAATAAACTATGTTAACTGTCTTTAATTAAAAATCAACTATAGACCACCCTAGGCGTGAATTGGAAAAGTTATGAATTTCATTAATTTTATATACGGTATGTGCCCACACATCATAATTGGCTGCCATTTTGGTTGGCAAGTTAAAATGCCAAGTTTATTATGGAAGTCAATGGAGGCAGAAGAAAATACCTCACTTACCTGCTGTAGCTCTATCAATAGCTAAAAAGCACTTGTTATAAGAAAGAGCAGCTGCCTCTAAGCTTCTCCTGTCAAGGATTTGGTCAAATTTGCTCCAGAATTCTTAATACAGGTTTGTTTTTATGTCGGCCCGTTTGTTGGTTCTCCATTGCAAGTTGCCAACCAAAATGGCGGGTGGAATTTATTTCATCCTAAACCAC